GCACTGATAAACATGGCGAAAAAAAAATAGCGCTTTGCCAGAAGAGGAACCACATCAGTTTGGTCTGCCTCCCAAGGGTTTGTATAGATTGCATACTTCACCGAGGCTTTTTGGCACTTTTCTTTAATAGCTGATTGATAAAAGCCTCACTGAATCAGCTATTAGATAAAAGATAAAAGATGAAAAGGCCCTGCTGAAGCGTGCCATCTATACACAGATGCTGGGGAGCCAGGTCAAGCTGATGTGGTTCCTCTTCTGGGCATGCGCTGTACTCAGTGTAGGGGCAAAATACGGCCTGTGGGCTGGATGTGGCCCTCCAGGCCATTCCATCTGGTCCATGGGACCCCTAAAAAATTTAGAAAATTAATATTTATCTGCCCCTGACTGCTTGTCATACGGCCCTCGAAGGCTTGCCAAAACTCAGTAAGTGGCCCTCCGCCCGAAATAATTGCCCACCCCTGGTGAAGGGGCATGCCAAGCTGGAAGTAAAATGCTGTTTGGGAGGGGTCTATGTCTGTCAGCGGTCAACATGACTAATCCATGCCCTGATTTATGACTCCAGGAAACCTTTAAATCTCTTCTCAAAATCTACTAATTTTGGTTGGGTTTTCAGTATTGAAACAAATTAAATTTGCAATTAATGCAGAAGCTTTTTTATCTTTTGCTGTGAGTTATGTCTACAGAATCATGATACACGTTACAAAATACCCTAGGGAAGAGCCTTTAGTAAGGTTTTCCAAATATTAGTCTGGTGGGTAGAGGGAAATATCACTCTTCCAGCTGCTGTTGCAAACCTAGAAACCAAAGCACAGCTCTTCATTCTCAGGAATTAGAGGGACGGGGGACATCAGAACTGATGCAAAAATCATTAATAATTACTGTAATTATTCTGTAATTATACTGTGTTATTACGATAGATCATTACAAACTCACCTGGCTCTTACAGTTTTAAAAATATCTTAATTTCTATACTCTTGATGTTTGAAGAATATAACTTATTTGTATTGGATATTTTATTAAATGAGATGCTCTGGCTAATTAAAGACATTTCAAGAGGTTTCTGTTTTTCTGCTTTCTTACCTGAGGAAAGAATCTGATGCATCTCATGTCATCTGACCTGAGCGCTCTTTCCTGCCCAGGGCAAGGGGTTGGACTTGATGACCTACTGAGGTCACTCCGGCCCTAACAACTATGAATGTGTGTCAGCAATGATAATACCCTGGATCATAAAACCCCCAGATGTAGGTGTACAGACTCAACAAAACTTTTAACACTTCCATTTTCTTTTAATTCTTTATACACTTGTTTTTTATGCTATACTTTGGAATATAAGCATCAAATATTAGCATTTGTGCTTTTTATATACAATTTCACTATACACTATTTGAATACACTTCAAGTTGTGAATGAACTATGCAGGCAGATTGAGAGTATGACTTTTGATCAAATGATTTCTAATCAATAGGACTGTTTCCTCACAGGACACAATTCTTTGTACAAATCACGAGTTTGGTATAGACGTAGCCTTTCTTTTTCAGAGATAAAATTATAAAATATGTTAAAACAGGTAAAATACCTTCCATTTCTTTATAATTGGGGTTACAAGCAAAAAGGAATATAAGGAAGCATTACTGAAACCAGAAGCTTTTATAAACGACAGTTCTGTTTCACTCCTCTTAGCAAAAAAAAGAAAGAAAAAGCCGCCACTTCACAGCACCCATTACAGTGTATTTGGTTCACCCACTCAAGCAAGAAGTTGACTGCTAAAAAGAAGAGCAAAGAGGCTACAACACAACCCTACAAGGCAACTGTAGTTTCATGCTGTTTCAGCATGAAACTACAACAACATTCCTGATACTCATGGGTGAGACCAAATTCTAAAGCACTGCCGCCATGGAACTAGTTTAATTTTTCTGATATTACGGGGAAATTATTGAAAATAATAAAAAGTTAACATCTCCTCCTAATAAACACCAAATTATTTGGAATATGCAGTATGAAGAGAAACCAAAGGCTGAACTTTGGCAAACAGAGAAATGATGGGATTAACTTCTGCTTTAAGTTTCCTGACTAAATGCAACTCCTTTAATGGCCTCTTTTAAGTAACTAAGGTAAATAGTTTTGTGGCATTCAGTTATGATAACTCAATTTGCCTATTTATAAATGATTTAGGTTATCTGTGATACCCCAAACACAATTCATCAAGACTAAATTAAATCCTTTTGCCTATCTATGATGTACTGAAGCAGGGCTGCCACTAATCTGGGAAGTAAAACCAAGGGTACAATCTCTCTCAAAGGTGTAACATTAGAGAGATGTGCAGAAGAGATTATGTCTGAAGTAACTGTTCTTTATGTCCTGGTCAAGTAAAGCTTTCCTTTACTTCAATAATTGTCATAATGTTGCTTGCATCTAGCTGCAGTTTCCTAAGCCATGACAAACTCCCCTGCAGCATACCCCCCCCAACTAAGTAGGGATTTCAGCTTCAAGGTTGACAATTATTTTGGCCTGTCATACCCATTCTTGCTTTCCTACATTATGAATTATTTACTGAACTTTAAGATACAATGAACTGGTGCTCGACAACTTGAAACTCTTCCTTCGAGTCTGTGCACTGCATGGCCACATACCATCAGGCCCAGGCTGGGCAATTTAAAGTGAGTTAATGAAAATAACATCCCTGTTAAGTCCTTTTCCATCAGGGCAAACCAAGGGTGTTGCAAACTAAGGACCTGATCCTGCAACAAACTTCATATTCATGTAGGAGCCCATTTGTCAAGAGGTTGTTAACAAGTTCAGTACGGTCAATACCTTGTAACTGTTTCCATAAAGATATAAAACAATTATGCCACTTTAAACCATACTTCAATTACATATTCTCTTCTCTGCCTCTATTAATATTATACATGAAGAGGTTAAGTTAGTTTTCACTTAATCATAGTTTCTTTTACCCACACTTCCATCCTGGTTTGAAATTTCATTTGAGCTTTCAGTTGTTGATTTCTGAATCTCATTTTAGTGTTTGTCATTAAATGATTTAAATTGTTTTTTTTACACTGCAGAATATTTTGTTCATATGCACATCTCTATTCAGACTAAATCGTGTGAAGATCAAAACTGTTGTGCCACCTTGTGCAAATAAGTAGCATAATACATCATCTAACACACTAGAACAGAGGTTAATAAAGATGTTTCTATTAAAGGCTGAGTCTTCTAATCCAAATGTATGTATTCATAAAAACTATGACAAATGTTCTGGATGGAAAATATACCTAAGTACTATCAATATGCATTTTAAAAATACTAATTTGCTTGAAAGTTAATTCAGCCTTAGAAATATTTACATAAATTAAAATTGTACTTAGATCTGAGAAATTAATCCTTGTATCTTTAATCAAGAATTTTAAATTAATACTCAGACATTTCTTAAGAAGATTATGTTAAACACTGTTTATGAAAAGGCAAACAAAAACATCTTATAAAGAGCATATGTTGTATTTATGTTTGCTGAAATTGCTCTCCTTGTAAACCAGAACCTTAAACTTTTAACCCCTGACTTTCTTTCTTCTTTAAAATGCATAGCCTTTATTTATGCAACATGTCCTTATAATCTCTGATGTTCTCCCATAAGTTATGTGATCATGTATCAACATGCATCACATTTGATTGCATACCTGTGTGAGGAGATGAAGTTGAACCCTAAAGATAAAGGCTGTGCACCCACTTGTACAGCTACTATATAAAATATCCATTGCAAAATAGTAGTCAAAATTTCATAGATGAAAATGAAAAGTCATGGGTCTTTAGGTAGAAACAGAAGTAGTGTACTGTAAGACACTATCGAAGAATTAAAAACAACCATAGCTCCTGGGGGGGAGAGGGATTAAAAAAATCTTCCTTGGGTAAATTTTCCTAAGATATTGTCAGTGCTGTGATTTTTTTCAGGTGAATAAGCAAAAGGGGTGATTTGAGTAATAAAAGGATAGTTGCTGTAGAAAAATAATCTAGAAAGGAACATTTTCATATGTGTCTTGAACCTCTCCCCCTGCAAACAGTTCAGGGCAAGTGATAACTAATACACTTTCTCCACAGTCTAAGATTTTCCTCCAATATACCTTATTGACCACGCTGCCATTGCTCTCCTTTAGTTCATGAGAGACGCGGCTTCAGTTTCCTGCCAAGTATCTGATTCTACTTTCACTAAACTCCATTTTACACCTGTGTAACTTCATTGACCTAAGTGGAACTACTGACTCAGGTCTGTTAAATGTAAGCAGAATCAAGCATTTAGTGGGTTAGCTTTACAATAACACCTCATCATTTTTTTGCAAGGATATGGGAACAAAGCAAGTGAGAATTATTGGTTCAAAGATTTACAGTAGTATGATAACCTTGAACATGCTTCCTTCCTGGGGCATATGAGCATTGTTAAAGCTGGTGTGTAGCAATCTGACATTAGCAACAAAAAAGAATGAGAGGGATTTGATCACAAGATGCAAAAATTTTGAAGTTCAGGGGTGGATAAAACAGCTCTGGTGTGTGCATGCAAAAGTTTCTGTTTGCACATGGGATGGAGGCTTTTATGCAATTTTTAATCCACTCTGAAGTTCTTCTTTCTGTAACCATCAGATTTTCTAAGAGATTTTTCCTAAGTGTCCCCCTAAGCTCAAGAAACACAATGGAGAATCTGTCATGTGCCAAACAAGCTACTCTTGGACTGAAACCACACTAATTGCTGTAACTTAAAGAAGTCCTATCTATTTGCAATTTTTCCCCCAAACCAACTAGCAGGTTCCCTTCATAAAGAATAGCTGCAGAGCCAGCCAAGAGTTTAACAAGTCAAGTGGAAACACATGGGAAGGGACACTATCAGTTTTAGGGCAGAAGGCAGGGCAGGCAGGGGGTACCTTTCTATTAACAGATTGTTAAGAAGTTTTTCCTTGCACATTTAATTCGTTTGTAGGAGCATTTTTTTTACATTTACATTTTTTCCTTGATAGGTGAGAAACCTGGAAATGAACAAGAAGTGAGGTTGCAAAATGCCAGCAAGCAGATAGTGCAAGCTGCTATCCTACAAGCTGTACAACAAGTCTCCCAGGAGAATCAGCAAAAGGAGAAGAAAATAAATAGCAGTGTGAGCCTCCAGCTAGAAAGAGGGGAATTAACCAAGAAACATGAAAAGAAGTAAAGGCATGAACCCTTTGTTCTGGTCCTCCAGTTTGAAGTAATTCCAGCCTTCCTTTTAGTATCAGCTGTTGTTGCCAGTGCAATGTTACTACTGTAAAGCAAACCAAAGTATAATCAGCACCTAGACCTAGAGTAAAACTGCAATAGTCCTCAGCTGAGAAATATTAAGTGCATTAGGTGACTAACTTCATATTTATGCAGTGCCTCTTAAACATAACAGAAAACAATACTATAGCTATACAAGTAGTTTCAAGCACAATCTTCTCTAAAGATACAGTTTTATATTCAAAAGCTTGTTGTTACTGCATTTCTGTATGAATGTTGTGTGCTTCATCTGTGTCTATTCAACAGGCAGATATCTTCATACAGTTATGGGCTTCCCAAGGATTATCTGTGTCAACTGAACTATGTGTTGTGGCGTGCTGGAGAAGAGCTTGAAACATGAGTCCGTATTTTTTTTCATTGAGGCTGGGCTGCACAAAATAGGAGCAGTAAAATGGAATTGGAAACTTCCAAGAACTAATGTAATTTCAACCCAAGAAAGTGTAAGGTCTAGAACTATGATCTAGAACTACTGGGTTGTCCTTTTTTTTAAGTATCTTGAAGCTGATCTAAATATTTAATCTGCACAAAAGTCATTTGTGCCTTTTCGTTTTGTCAATATTAAAAGAAGACAGAGGAGGTATTATACAGGTGCCTAACTCTTCCTTTGATTTTGCAAACATATCTATGCTTATATTTATAAGAATTAAAACTGTCTAAAATATTTAAAGATTTTTAATTTAAAATTTATGAAAATTCTGGTGGATGAAAATACGCTGTGAATTAATCTGGGCATTATAGTCATTTCCCATTTGCTGGGTCTAAAATAACTTCAGCTCTGTACAATTTTCACATAAATTCACTTAGATGGCAGTACACTTGGTTGGGGTTGGTACTTAAATTCCCTTACATTCTAATACCAAATTGCTGTAGAAGTGCACAATAGCCATGGGAAAAATGTATTCAATACTACTTTCAATTTATGCTCAGCAGTTAAAATGTAGGTTGTATTCTTGTGCCGATGACATGAAGAACAGGTTATTCAGGTCAAGGAATGACCTATACAGTTGCCTCAACAAAATGTCTATATTAGTGGACACAATGACAAGCAGGGGCGTGTGATTTGTGGAGCCACAAACTACATGCGTGGAATGTTAAAACATGGCCCATGCTGCAAATTTGCAGTGTGGGGACAAAATTTGCTTCTGGGATTTCCAGGTAGCAAAAAAAAAGTGCTAGGAAAAAAAGCGGCACAGCACATGCTACAATAGCGTGCACTGGCACAAATGGAGGTTTGGTCCTCCAGTGAGACACTCTGGCTGCCATCCAGAGTGACTCTATACTCCATTTCTACTCTGGCTACTCCAGCATGCCAGGGGTCAGGAGGAGCTGGACAAGGGCAGTTTGCCCACAGCAGGAAAGTGTGTCCCACACCATATTTGTGCTGCTAGTATTTGTGCCACTGCAGGTGCATGCCCTGGCACATCTGGACACGGCCAATGGCTGCGAGTCATAGTCTACGTAGAACTATTTCATTTGGAGAAGGGGAGACTAGCTTTTCTAACTGCCTTTGCTACTCATGGATAAGTTTCTTAAAGAATCTTTTGGTTTATGGATGAATTGGCAATTACACAGCACATCCCACAGCTAGTGCTGAAAACCTTCAGGGGTCTTTCTAGTGGCTGAAGTCTTAACTTCTTAATATCCACACATGCTGTAATGCTAACCTCCTAAATCTGCATGGTTGTAATGTCTTTAACTGATTATTTACACCAGATAATAATATATCTTATTTTACTTAGGTAACTTAATCTATTCTAATCTATTTCAACAGGCAAAGAAAAATAATTCCAAATGATAAAACTAGTATTTCTTAGCCCTTAAAATATGAAAAATTGGACAAACTCTAAATAGCCTTCTCTTGCTCATATCATAGTGCATTTTACCATGTAAATTTTCCGAGTGAAACATCCAAAACCTAAGAGAAGGCACAAGTTAGTAGATCACAAGTGCTAGCCTTGGGTTGAGGGATGGCTCCTTTCTAGGCAATCAATATCTTACTAATCTCTCAGAAAGTTTAAAGAGCTGGCTCAAGAGTTAATGGTCAAGTTTGTGAGCAGGCAGGGACTATTTATGATATGATGATAAGCTGGAAAGATTTTAGCACTGAAGGTGGCATTTTCCATTTATTATAAAGTTGTTTTTACATTGTCTTTTTAACCAAGAAATGTTTTGTGTTGCGCAACTTGAATGGATGGGGAAAAAGGAAAGCAATGTTCAGATTCCCTAGACAACTTTTTCAGAGTGCTAGAAAAGAGACCGGGGGAAGATAAATGTAGAGCTCAACCTAAGCACTCAACCTAAGACTAAGATATGACAACAAGTTATGTTTAATTTCTGGTGTGAGATATATCCATACATTTGTTCATAATTTGGCAACACACTAATTATATTGCATATAGATTTTATTAAGACCTAAACTGAATATTGCAGCTAGAGTTAAAATATCTTGCATAATTGTTCATAAAATCATAAGCTGGGCAGACAACATGTTAATTCAAGTCTTTTTTTTCAATGTCTAACTGGCTTTCCAATATCACAACAGCACCTGAAAATGGAATTTCTATCCACAGTAATAAACATATGCAAATTATCTTAGTGTCCTTTTGTATGTGGTAACATCAAATACAAATGTCAATGAATTAATACACTCTAGTAAAGGATTTTTTAAGTTAAACTGACAAAGGTTATTCACATTTTAGAAATGAAATCACTCGGGATAGAATATGTGCTTGAAAAAATGTGGCACGTGCTACAAACCACAGGTTATCCATTTATGCCCTGATTTGGGGATAGAATCTATCAGAGTAGACCCACAGGCTCTTGCCTCACCTCACTGACCAAAACTAGTCTTTGTGAAAATACAGGGATCCATAACCACACAGCTGTTTGTACAACCAGGTGCTTAGTGGGTTAAGAAGTGGTCCTCTGGTAATATATTCCTGCTCACAGTAGCAAAGGGACTTTCAAAAGCAGAGTTTCCTTTCAAGTTATTCTCATTAGTCAGGTTGTGGTTCTGTTTTGCTTGCTTAAAAATGGAAGTGTTTCATTCTCCTAATACTTGCTTTTGTAGAATTTTTGTCCTTTTAGAATTTAATTGGGTTTCATGTATGGACTTGCTAATCCAAGACTAAAAAAATACTAGTTCACTTTTTTTACTTATTTGACTAGCACTTCAGGGACTTTACAGCATACTTTTCCTTTTCTGTTCATTAAATATTTATGCAGAACAAGCTGCAGCTACAAATTAATGTTATGAAAGAAAGGAAACATTTTTCAACGGTGTGTGGCAGATGGTCTCTTTACTTACATTAGACCATTTAAAACAATGCAACCTATTTGCATTTGCTCAAGACTAAAGCTGAAAGTAAAAGCGGCAAAAACACAACTTTTTTGTGTACTGAGAAGTTTAAAATCTGATGTAAGCTGATAGCTGCAAATTTGTAAAATATACGTATGGACTCTGCTGATTCAGAAATATCAACATGCCCATAAAATGTTTTCTGCATGTATCTGTAACTGAAAACCATACAGAATTCACAATGTATGTAGAATGCAGCTGCTTGGCTCGTGTTGTGAGATGGAAGGAGAATATTACATCAGTCTACTGAAGCCTTGTCACGTTCCCTGCCTGATCTTGGATTCAATTCAAGGTACTGATTGCAACGTATAAACTCTTGGTTAAAATGAAACTGGTCCTGTAAGGAAGTTATGGCCAAACCCTTCCTGTGTTTAATCATATAATTTGCCTCCTGCACATCTGCTGATTTCTTTTAGTAAAACTTTGTATCACAAGGGACATAGGAAACACTTGTGTATCACACTACAGAACCAACCTAGCCCACAGGTTTCCAAAGTTGTCAATCATAACAACACTAAACTTCCTAAATGCATATCTAGTAAAATCAAACAAGCCAACATTCTTATAAGAACACCCCTAAATATATAATGGCCCTTAAGTCTTAACTAAAAAGTATACACATACACACATTAGAACAGTAAGAACCAATCCAGATGAAGACATGCCCATTCTGTGTGATGGTTTTACTATATCCTTTTATCCTCTAAATCATTCCCTCCATGTACGTCATTAATATTGCTTTCCTTTTATTCAACTTGTTATTTAATAATGTCTTTTTAATCATAACATTTAGGTACCTATAACAATGTTCTCCCACTAGTTCCTTAACTACAACTTTTATCACCTCTTCCTTCTTGCTACTTTTTCCTCCCATGAACTTTGAAAGGCAAATTGGCATCTCCATCTCTCTGTTTCCCTCTATCAGCACCCTGTCCTGTAATGTATGCACCAAGATATTTATCATTCCTGTGGTTGCAGTTCTTGCATTGTGTGGACCTGGTATACCATGGATACATAGATGTTAAGTGACCAAACTGCCCATTGAAGTAATAGTTTACCAGAGATCAAGACTGTTCCAAAGCCCCATTCTATGGCAGATGTAAGGCTGCCCCACAGAACCCCATAAACCTTTGTTTTTCTGCTATCAAGGACAAAGACAAAATCTGATCATTGAATAGAGATCTGGATCTGAACCCTGTCCAAACTCCCCAGTCGAATCAGGATTTTCTCACTGGGGCCCAAGACAGTCACCTGTCTCCTTAACCAATCCACAGTTAGCTTATATCATACCAGATGTCAGTGAACCATGATCATGAGCATCATTACAAAGGTGCTTGAGCAGCATCAGGCCTTTAATGTTGTGGGCCTGTTCTGGCTCCATCCCTTCTGGCTATTTAAGAACGGAGCCAGGAATTGCTAAGCATGGTTCGGCTACCAAAGAGGCCAGAACTCTTGAAAGGGTAGTGGATGAATGTTTCTGCCACATCCTTGCAAAGGGATAGAGAAAATGGTGGCAGCATTGCAACAGAAGGCTACAGAGCCTACAGGATGAATTGAGAGTCACTGATGAGGTACCTTGTGTGAAAGATATTTGTGATGCAATATAAAAAGTGTGAGATTTGTAGGATGTTGAGCAGGGCAACAGGATAGTTGACTCTGGTCTAGGCTGGCCTACATTGTTGTTTTTATTTAATTCCCCTTCTCAATATCTGCTTGTCCTCTGTGTATTCTGATTTCTGAAGAACTTAGTGACTAAACCATAATCACCAGTCCTACTTAAGAATTTTACCTGACATATCC